CTGGATACTCAGCGTACTGAAACAATAAAGGGCTTTCTAAGATAGTTCCACAGGTTCATTCTCTACAAAGATATGTTTCCACAACTGAAGAGCTGGGTCTCTAGGAAGCACTGAAAATTCCAGATCAATAAAGGCACTTAATCCTGAGTGTCCTTTCATATAATGGGCATTATTATCAATAGTCACCTGTGGATAAACTTCGACAAGATCAAAGGTTGCTAATATTTCTTCCAGCCAAAAACGTTCTAAGGCACTGGGTGTGGCTGAAGTTTTTTATTCATGTTTATCTGTGGTCTTAGTAGATTCCTTTCATTTGAAGTAGCCCAGCAATTATTCGTAACAGGCTTAAGAATCCCTTTCTCAAGAAGATGTCCAAGATTTTCAGTTACTTTTTCTTTAAAGTAAAGGAAGGCAACCCTTCAATTATCCATAATTATCCATATCTTACTTTAGTAGATATTCATAAATACACGTTTACATTACAGCTTTCAGCTATGTGATTATTGTCATTTTAAAATGGTTGCAACAACTTTGGCTATGGAGTAGACGGTATCATTCTTGATTATTTGTAGATGTTGACCAAATTCACTTCCATATGCTTCCAGGTAATATAAACAGTTATTAATACTTATTGGGCTTTATTATGATGGATGCTGACCTGCATACTGTTACAGGTTAGCTTTTACTGAAGAATATTGAGGTCTGCAAGTATAGAGAATCGATATAATTCTTCAAAGCCTGAGAAACAATTGGATATGAAATAATCTGCAGATATTAAAGAGGATTATTTTTGTTTTTTTGACCATGTTGTCAAGATCTGCTTAATTATGATACAGACAAAACAGTGTTTACATTAGAAGCTACCCCTTTAATTTCTATTAGTGATAGTAGCTTTTTCTCAAGCTCTACTATAAATGTCTTGGTTTGGCTGACAGGTACCAACTGAAACACTTTGCTTTGAACTTCTTGTATGAGGCAGCTCCACAATTTTGTTACCTAAGAAATTCCCGAGGATTCTTTTAGTGCAACCCTGGAACAGAAGCAGCATGCTCTGTTGATTTCTCTTGTGAAATAATAAATCTCTAAATTATAACTAGAAAGTGTTGGGAAAAAAACGCATTCAAGAAAACGCACAAGTCTTTCAAATGTGAACGTATATTACAGCAAATGTTTTGTCCCTATAAATTATTGGAGAGATTTTGCTTCTGTTCAGGGTCCTTTCTTTTGTTTGCTTCAGTTCACTAAGAAACCTCCTCAGGCTATGAATTTGGGGAGGCAGATTACTATCAAACTCTTTGGTACAGCCTTGAACAGCCTAAAGTCTAGTTATCTGGCCACGTTATGGCTGCACAGATTGTGCATTACATAACTCCAAGGGTCTTCATTCACTACTTACATTGCCTATTTTATGTATTTAAGTTCTTGAGAATGGCTTTATATTGTCTTGTGTTTCCCTACATTTTCAGTAGAATCCCATATTTGTCACCAGAAAAGATGTATTGGGTAGCAATTAAAAAATAAGCACAGAACATGGAGACTTTCAACAAAATACCCTTTGGCTGTGAAACTCCTTTTGGTTAATCCTTGTATGCAACCAAAATACTTGAAGTTTATAACTACAGTAACTGAAAAAAATTTAAAAAACCAAACCTATTGCTGTCAATTCCAACTCACAGCGACCTTGTAAAGTAACTGAAAAGGACCAACAAATACTTAAAAATATAACCACCACAGCACTTTCTGGCATATGTAATAAAAGGGACAGATTCCTATTTGTATGAGTAAGTAGACTGAGAGTCATACTAGATCTGGTGAGGATTTAAAAAAAAATCAAGATCACTTTAAAAAATAATTTTTTAAAATATACCACTTTAGACTTCTCAGTACAGCAGAGAAGGTTAAAATCTGAACTACTGGTTTGCATGCACATATTTGTACTAATTATGAAGTCTCTTTAATGAAGTTAGGGCAGAGGTTCTCAATCATGACTGCATATTAGAAACACCTGGGGAGCTTTTACAACTATGAATGCCCAGGCCCCACCCCCAAACCAATTTTCTCAGAATCTCTGGGGGTCACAGAAAGACACTGGTGGTTTTTTTCCTTTGAGGTAAAAGTTACATCGTGGTGATATGCTGTCTTAAGTGTACCATTTGATGAATCAGACAAGTACATAACACCTGTGCAACCCAAATCCCATCAAGATACAGAACATTACCATCACCACAGAAAGTCCTTTCTTGCCCCAGGCCCAGTAAATTCCCACTCCCACCCTCCTCCCGCAGATAACCACCATTCTGATTATTTTCCATCATAGATGAGTTTTGCCCATTGTAGGACTTTATATAATGGACATTGGTGTTTTTAAAATTTTTCTCAGGTGGTTCTAAGGTGCAACCAGAATTGATAAACACTGAAATAGAATATCTGAATCTGAGTAGTACTTTGTTAAACGAGGTATAAGACCTTCCCAGAGTAGTATAGGAAGGTAATACTTTAAAGGAACTTTGGACAGTGTTCCATTAGCTAAAGCTATGAAGAATGGTGTGGACTATATTCATTTAACTATGGAAGTCATTCCATCCCTCTCTTGTTTCCTTTTACATTTTGCAGAATTAGTCATTTTTTTCCAGGGTCAGCTCACCAGTTTTAACTGTACTTAAATGAATAGAGATAATCTAGCAACCTGGCTAGATTGTTGTTGCTAGGTGCCATCCAGTCAGTTCCCACTCACAGCCACCCTATGTACAACAGAACAAAACATTGCCCAGCCTGCACCATCCTCACAATTGTTGTAATGGCTAGATTATCATAATACAAAACCAGATTTTCACCCTCTATTTTACGATTTAGTTTTGTGAAATTAACGCCTTCAACATGAATTCTGTGCTTTCAGAGTCTTCCCAAAAAGGAGGGAAGAAAAAAATGTTGCTGCACATAGTTATACTAAATTAGCAATTCATTTAAACACTTTAAACAGATGAAAACCAAAAATAAAGAATTGCAAGAATATGTAATATCCATGTAATCTCTGTTGAAAGAAACCAGGAACTGAAAATAGACCTTTATTTAAACCAAATACCTGATAACAAGTTAGTACACAAGTTACCTGAACCTAAGCAGTGTAAAATAGGGTTTTTCCAGACTGTTTCAAAGTGTTTCAATATTTTTTATTTCAAAGAAAGAGCGTTTTAGCTACAGTGATATTAATTTTGATTCTATCCATCGTATTTTTTCCCTATAGGGGAACATTTGATTTCTGTATTTTCTAAGGCTCAAAAAACAAAAGCTAACAGAGTGAAGTACTTAGACTAACTTACTGCAGAAAGGAAAAAAACATTTCTATGCATGTGTAAAATACATCTACACAGCACCTTCACACGGACTGAGACCTCCTTCTGCACTTGTGCTGTGTGATTTACAGCATGCAGAAACAGAGCACCTGGGAACATCCCCTACTGTACTCTGGCTTAAGAAGCAGCAGCTAATGGTTCTCAAATGTTAGCGTACATGAGAGTCATCTAAGGATCTTGTTAAAAATGAGGATTTTCAACTTACACCCCTCCCCTGCCAGTGATTATAAATCTGACATCTAGGAAATTTCACTGCATTTTAAACTCCATATTTATACCACTGGTACCGATCTTGGCTACACATCAAACCACCTGAGGAATTAACAAATAAATGAATAAAGAGGTACAGGTTATTCTGTACAGGTACAAAAATTCCAACTCTGATGGTCACAGGTAAAGCCCTACTGCATTTTGTAAAAGATCCATCAGTGTCTCCAGTACATGGCCAGGGTTGAGAAAAACTGTTCTATAATTTGCATAAATTAAGCTGTGTATACAAGTCATAAACTAAAGCTAAACAGATAAATACTGGCTATGAGAATGCATTAACAAAGAATCCACGTGAAAAGTGGAAAGAAGATAGCACCTTAAACATGAAATAAAATTAAGTTTCCAGATAATAAAATATCGTTCCACTTTTTATTCATATATTTTAATGTTTTGTGTATATATAATCAATTATCTTAAGCCCAAGCTAAAGAATTCTCTGTTACATGAGAAATGTTTGCTTTTTACTGTATTTAGCATATTAAAATGACTTCCTGAGTATCAAGTTCTTTGGGAAGTAATCATACCATTGGGCAGAGTATCACAATCTAGTGGACTGAAAAAGTTAAAACATACTTTAAATAGTGGCCAAAAAATCTACTCAGTTCCTCTGAGATATGGTGTAATTACATTCACTATCTAATATTTTGCCTTTGCATTCCTTCAGACCATTGTAACGAATGTCTGGATGGTTATGTCTTTTGACCATGACTAAGTAAATAGGAACATCTGTCCTTGTTTCCTAGTTGTCTAAAAATGACAGGGAAAAAAAGTAGAAACTATCTTTTTTTCTTCAAGTGAAGTTAGATTTTCCAAGTGATAAACTGAAGAACCTAATTAGCTTTAAGGCCACACTAATAGAAACAGGAGTTTTTACTGGATAAATCAATAACACTTTAAAATAAATATGTCAGGGTGTGCAGCTGCACTGTACATAATTCATAAATGGCACAGATTCTTCATAACCTTTTTAACAAAGAATAATGTTGTATTAAAATTCATCGTTCAGTATTGCTAATTTAAGATGCCCCCTAAAGGACTTTAGCCATCGATTTTTTTGTAAAATAAGTTATTCTCCATGATATGTCTGTTATATCTTTTCATCTGAGAATTGGTTGAAGTTTTAAAATACCAAGAAAAGAAAAAACAATAAGGTATTCTTTCAACCACAACATAATATTTTTCAATTCTCAACTTGTTACGTTAAATGCAATTTTGGTGTGCAAACTTCAAGGGTTTCTTTTTACCAAATATGTTGGAAATAATGTATCTTTAAATAAAATGTTTGAATACTATAATCTTTCATACATGTAAGTCTTCTACCTGAATATAGACATATAAATGATCAGATTTTATATTTGGCCTTTTTTTTTTTAACAGAGCATTAAGAAGAAAAATACAAACAAACAGGAGATGAGCACATACCTGAGATTCATTGTCTCCCGCATGAAGGAGCGGGTGAGTCCTGCTGAGGAATCTTTGAAAATCTCCCAAAATGTATTTTACTCTGGTTCATTCTTAAACAGTTAATGACTGAGAAGCAACCAGTACATATGTAGCGGTATGAAGTATGAAAACCACTGCTATCATATCGCTTTGTGCAGTTCTATAAAAGGCTTTTAGACCATTTTGTTTTGTCTTTGTTTTTGCCACATTAGCTTAGAAACATTTAAATTTTTAAATTCAATTTATTGGAATGAACATTATCATTGATAATTAATATATAAAATGATATGGAAATTTCCAAAATAACTCTGCTTTCTACCAAAATCTTAATACCACATTAAACTATATAATGCATCTACATTTTCCAGTTTTAAAGTACTTCTTGTTAAGGTATCTTTTCAGAGGTAGAAAATATTTTGAGTTTTAGAAACTGATATTTTACCTGTGTTTCTTTAGCCACATTTAAAATTGATTTATCTAACAATCTTTTAGGCTATAGATCTTAATAAAAAGGGGAAAGACAATAAACATCCGATGTACAGGAGGCTGGTACATTCAGCTGTTGATGTTCCCACCATACAAGAGGTAAAGTCAGTTCCTTTTATTTCTACTTCAAATATAGTTTAATTATCAAATTAAAGAATAATTTAACAAGCAATAATTGTTTGTTTATGTTTCCTTGAGAATGTGCTTTTCCCCATTTTCTTACTAAAAGTAAAACTACCAAATGAGGAATTACTATTTGTTTAAAATTTCATGTACTTACTCTAATTTAAATTAGGTGTCATCTTATAAAAGGCCTGGTGTTAAGCCACCTGAGGATTTTTTAAAAATTGTTTTATTGTGGTAAGGATACATACAACAAAACATTTGCCAAGAAACCTATAGATTCTTGATACTTGTTGATTAAAGAAAATTTATTGTAGCCTGGTCAATTTAATATCTCAGATGTAGAGAATTCATTTCTGGACATGGATTTCTAGTTTTAGCAGTAGTTCATAGAGGTTTCTCTCAGGTAAAAATGAGAACATAGAACTAATCTAGAGTTTGGGGAAATAATGGCATCAACTTGAACAAAATACGTAAAGATTTTTACTCAGAAATTTTCATATTTTTTAATCTTAATTTTGTCCACTATGGCTGAGGACTCTTAATGAGTTTAATATTTAATTATAAATTCCAATAAAATCCAATAGGAAATTTAAACATGTTTCCAGCCAAGGTTGCCGTAATTACTAATTTTGTACCTCGTGTTATTTTGAAAGTTTATGATTAATAATAATCGCCTATAGGAAGACCAGGGGAGTAATTTTAAATCATCTTGTAAGTTTCCTTATTACCTTAGTAGCTGAGAAAGACTGAGGGTCTATTATTTCAATGTAAAAAAAGGGTAAATGAAGGTTGTTCCTTCAAAGTGGCTGGCAAATCCTGGAACAAAAACAGTAATTTTAATTTTACCTCCTACCCCCAGATTATACCCCTTTCTTCTAAATTGTAGCTCAGGCCCATCTGATCCTTGGAGACCTAGGTTAACACTGGCTGTGTTAATGGTATCTTGGCGACGTGTTTAGCAAGTGCCTACTATGAGCAAAAGCACTGTACGTAAAATAAAGAGAAGACATGATTTTTATGCTCAGACTGAATACACACGAAAATACAGGCCATGGTAACTGCAAAAAAAAGTCAAAACAAAGTGCTTTGGGAATGCTGTGAAGGTTTTCTCAACCTAGTTGCGTACTGGAATCATTCCGGAGGAACTTCTAAACAATACCAAGCTTTATCATAGACCAATAAAATCAGAAATTCAGGAGTAGAACTCATTTGTCAATATTTGTAAATAACCCATGTGACTCTAGATGCCACATAGGAATCAGGTAACTCCAACTGGGAGAATCTGGAAAGCCTTCATGGAAGAAATGCCAATTGAGTTGGGTCTTGGAGGATTTCAACAGGAAGATGCCATTCCTGGAGATGAAACTGCATGAGCAAAGTCAGGGAATAGGAAGAGGATGGCTGAGTTCTTAATTATTCCTTATAGGCTTTAGTATTCCAAGCTATTTTCCAAGCCAATTTCCTAAGTGTATAACCAGGATAAGAAAATGCCTCCTTGCTTCTTCTAGCTAATGTTGTCATACCTGACTTCCAAAATTTTGGCCCAATAGAACTCCCTTAGATTGCCTCCATAATCCTTCACTTTGGCAGCCAAAGGCAAAGCTACAGAGAACAAGGAAATCCTTTTCATATATCACTCTAATATCAAAGAAATCCTGGCACTACCTTGATATATGGAGGAACACATGTTATTGTTGTTAGGACTCTATTTTTTAATTTTTCCAAATAACACCTTGTCCCAATTCAGTTTTACAAATGTGTCTTCTTAGTAGTTATGGTAAACTGTTAGGCTAAAAGTCCTATTTTTCAGTTTTTAGTCTCTATGTTATAAAGAATGATAGGTAGTTAGGGCTTAATCAACCATGCTGACCAGAGAGTTCTTTACAAGGCTTAGCGGTAGCTTTCATCACTGTTGCAAAATGAGATGTTTAAGCTGAAAATTCACTCCAGTAAATTAAGATAGAGCACAGTGGTGGCTGCTGATAAGTGATCTGCCATCCTTCCATTGTACTGTAATATTCAAACTATAAATGGAGTTGTTGATTTCTTTTACCCATATGCTCTGTCAATAAATAGTATAGCAGTAGTCCTAATAGCATCCTGGGAAAACTCTGTTGTGTGCCATACACTAACCTGCTAACATAATGCAGACAAATATTTTCACCAGTGACTCTTTTGCCTTTCTGTTTTTGCCCTCTACAGAAAGTGAATGAAGGGAAATACCGAAGTTACGATGAGTTCAAAGCTGATGCTCAACTACTTCTCCACAACACAGTGATTTTCTATGGAGGTTCAATATTTTTTGTTTTTTCTTTTGTATGTGTGTGTCTGTTTAAATACCATTTATATTCCATTTTAAGAAATACCTTTTATAAAACACTAAATTTAAAAATTAACACCTTAATGATCTGTAAGTCATGATGTTAGGGTTTAAACTGTTGAGAACATTTGGTGATGCCATTATAGCTTATAGAATTCACTGACAAAGGTACAACTGTAGTACACTAAATGATGAAAATATTGTGATTCTTTATAATCTTATACACGTTTGTCTCAGTTGAGACACTTTTTTATGAGTGCTTTGATTAGTTCTGGTTGTTTTCCCATTAATATCCCATCATTGAAAGGTAAAAAGGTTGGATTCGACTTGATGGCAACTTTTTTTTTTTAATACCTAGAGAAGTAATGGTTATGTGTTGAATATAAAATAAATATGCCTATAGAATTTTATGTTGTTGCCTGAACTTCATTTAAAATACATATTTTGGTTAAAAATAGTTTATGTCCACTTTTGCTTAACTAAAAGAAAGTTAAATGATGGTGTTAATTTTGATAGTCTTGTGTTTCTAGATTGTTGGTAATAGGTAATATCTATCTTTAATTACAGCAGACAGTGAGCAAGCCGACATAGCGAGGATGCTATATAAAGACACATGTCATGAGGTACTATTCATTTAAACTCTTGCTATAATCTAAATTTATTTATTCTTAGGATTCTACTCTTCTTATATATATTTAAATTATGCCATTACTTTTACATGTAATTTTATTTTTTATGTTTGAAATATATAGGAAATAATGTAAACAGAGCAAAAAAAAATTTTTTTGGGGGGGGGCAAAACTGTACTCAGAGAAATCCTAGGAGTTAGATTTAGTTATAAAGTAACTTGCACAATCCTCAAGAGCTATTGGATTAGTTAGGTAATGCATGTAAATGTGTTGCCCTGGACAGACACTCAAGAAATGTGTCCTATTTGAATGAAGGATTCAAATTTGAGTCTGTACTAGACTATACAGGTAAAAACAAAAAAAAACCAAGTTCATATTTATATAATAAATAAAATATGTATTTAAGGACTTTTTTCATGGTCATTCTCATTTGAAAACACTTGTAACTATCCTGTCTTTTAAGAAATATCTCTTAGTTTACATAAAAGTTATAATTTATCTCAAATTTGACTTTTGTCCTTTATTCATTCAACTGATGTTTATTGTCTGTTATGTGCCAGGAAATGTGTTAGAAGGAAAAAAATGGTGAACAAGTAACAAGCTTCCTTCTCGTGGAGCTCCATTATGAGGGAGACTGAGGGGGAAAAAAGAAACAGACAAAATTCTTTTCTTCACCAGTTGTAAAAAAGGTTCTGAAAGAAAATAAGCAAGGGACTAAAATGGAGAATGAGGCAAAGTAAGGACTGCTGCTATTGGGAGTGGATACCTTATATAGGTTTGTCAGGATTGCCTTTTTGAGAAAATAACATATATGTGAGAGCTAAACAAGGAGAAGGTACCAGATGAGGCTGGAAAGTAAGGCAAGGATTAGACCACACCAGGCCTCGTAAGAAGTTTGTATTGTAAGTGTAAAATGAGGTCGTAGCAATGGTTTTAACAGGAAAGTGACAGGTTCTTCTAGTATTATTTATTGAAAAATTAAAAATTTAAGCTTATGTGAGCAAAAAAGATTATATAAGGAATAAAATTCAAGACTGTATATTAATGAGAATGTTAATTAACATAAGTATATTTTATATAGCTTAATGTACATCTTATATAGGCTAAAATAGTTGTATTTCTTTTTCAGCTGGATGAACTACAGCTTTGCAAGAATTGCTTCTATTTGTCAAATGCTCGTCCTGACAATTGGTTCTGCTATCCTTGTGTATGTAAAATTTTGTAATTTCTGTTTTTTCTTAAGTGTGTAATGTACTACTCTAAGAAAGTTTATTTCCAATTTGTTTAAAGGTTACAGTCCTTCCTAAATAGATTTCTTTATATCAGAGTATTGTTGTTGCTATTGTTTGTCAGTTCTGACTCATGGCAACCCCATGTGTGCAAAGTAGAATTGCTCCATAAGGTTTTCAAAGCTGTGAACTTTCAGAAGCAGATCACCAGACCTGTCTTCCAAGGCACCTGTGGGTGGGTTTGAACCGCCAGCCTTTCAGCTAGTAGCCAAGCACTTAACCATTTGTGCCACCTAAAGGCTCTTATCATAGTATATATGGTTTTAATGCATATTAACAGCTGAAACATTGGAAGAATAATGGGATTGTCAACCATTTCTGGCTTTAAAATGAGGACTTTAAATAAGAATAAGCTTCGGAATAAAGTGAATTTTGGCTTTTCCGCTCATTCTTTCACAAGAAGTCTAAGGCTTTGTATATGTCCACAGCAATCCTGGGGCTCCAGCTATATAATTTCCCCTAAAATGACATAATTTCAAGAAGAGTGCTGAAAAGAAGCATGTGAGTTTTCCAGATCTTCAGTCCCAAATGACATTAGGCTTATGAGGCTGCCTGAAAGAAACCAGTCTTCAGAACAATGCTTCTGAAAAGTTACTGTGCATATCAGTCACTTGAGGATCCTGTTAAAATGCAGATCTCTGATTTAGTGGATCTGGACTACCATTTGCCATAGAGTGATTCTGATACATAGTGACCCCATGTATGTCAAGAGTAGAACTGTCCTTCACAGGATTTTCAATGGCTGATTTTTCAGAAGTAGATCACCAGGTCTTTCTTCTGAGGCAACTCTGGGTAGACTTGAACCTCTAACCTTTTTGGTTAGCAGCTGTGCACGTTAACTGTTTGCACCACTTCAGGACTCAGGTCTGGTCTAGGGCCTAGAATTCTCCCATTTCTAACAAGCTGAACTTATTCAGTTGGTACTGATCTCCTGGTCCCTGGACTATACTTTACGAAACAACTTAGGGTGTTCTATTTGGCACTATTATTTGATATGGCCCTTGGCTTCAGGGACTACCTCATTCCAAAGTACAGCAAGCTACAAAGAGATAATATTTTTCCTGTCTCCTCTGAGAAATAAAGGTTCACATTGCTACTCTTAACCAGATTTGAATTTTTGCTGTTTTTCCTGAAGATAAAATCAACCAACCTCAGAAAAAAAAAGTTCCATTTGTTTAGGCGTTAGAAAAGAATTATTTTCAAATTAATAGATTATATTTAACTAAGTAGTTCAATATTAATGGTGTACTTGCATTTAATACTTTAAAAGTAATATAACAAGGTAAAACATTTTGTTTCCAGATACCTAATCATGAGCTGGTTTGGGCTAAGATGAAAGGTTTTGGGTTTTGGCCAGCCAAAGTCATGCAGAAAGAGGATAATCAGGTTGACGTTCGCTTCTTTGGTCACCACCACCAGAGGTAATTCATGGATCCTATGTGCAAATAATCATAGCTGTGTTTCTCAAAAGTCCACTAATCATAGCTGTGTTTCTCAAGTCTGTAAGAGAGTGATAAATCACACCTTTATCAATGTCCTGATGATTTCTCCATCAGAGAAATTCTGAAATTTGTTTTAAGTTGAAGAAACAAAGCCAGCACAAAACTTAATTATGCAACTAACAATGATTTCTATAAATTATATTTCTAGGTATATTTCAGACATCATTTACTAAACTGAGGAAATTTTCAATAACTGACACTGTTGAACCTCAGAAGTGTGTTTTTGCTGAGATTGACTTCATAATGGCAGTGAGGTGGAAGGGTTCTCAGAATGTCATTTTCATAATGTTGTAATGATATTACAGTTGATTTAAGGCCCTATTAAAGCCATAGACAAAAATTATTGATTAGGGACTAGACAGTGTCAATCTTGTGGTCTAAGAATGTATATAAATACCTTAAGTGTGCATAAGAATTATATGTGTATAACAACAAGGCATTTTTTCTAATTTAGATTTAAAATTTTCTGTTGCTAGGGAGATGTATACAGTGTGACTTACACATTTACATTTTCATGAAATAAGAAAGTATGTATCCCAACAGTAAAAACCATTTTTACTATTATAAAATTATTTTGCATAGTTAAGTATCTCATCTAAGGAATGCTAAACTATACAATAAAATTCCAACTACCTCCTTCATTCTGATGTTAAGACCTTAACCTTTATTGAACACTGAAGATTAGAAAGTCTTTAAGTGTTGTCCTAAATAAGGTCACTAACAGAATTGATTTTAAAAATATGAATTCATGTATGTGTACTGTCAGACTCAGAATTTGATGAGTCTCATCAAGCCATTACAGAATTCACATGTGATGTTTTGGGTTCATTTAACACAGTTGACTTTACATGAATATCAGAATATTTTAATAGGGGAAAAATGTAAAAAACCCAGCTACATGATCTAAAAGTCATACCTTGCAAGGATTTAAATTAACAAAAAATAATCACTGTTGTCACTGAATGGTACATGTAGAAACTGTTGATGTATATTCTCAACAACAAAATAAATAAAATAGAAGAATAATCACTGTGAACAGTCCATGTCTCTTACCATGTCCAAATGGTAAAGTCTTATGCAAATATCATTACTGTAAAAGAAGTTATCAAATTGAGGGACTTTATTCTACTCCATAATGAATTTTTACTTAATCTTTATTTAATTCAACTAGAAGTTTAGTTACATGAAACCTATGAATACTATAAAATTCCAAAAAAGTAGTTCTGTTCTTTTGTAGATGCACACTTAACTGAGATTCCTATCATGTCAAGAAACATTAAGTAATGATACAATAAAATAATCCAATATGAAATTAATATTTTAATTGTATGAGTATCAGGTTATTAACTTTGAATGTTACATGCTTAATACATCATATTCATTTTAATTTTTCATCAGGCCAGGCAGTGTGGCAACAGGTTGGTTAAGAGTAGTCTCCATGTAGAAACCTTCCATCTCTAAATTGAGACACAGAGGAAGCGGTAGGTAGAATGGATAGATTAACTAAGTATATGTCCTGGCTTCAACATTTACTGCTTCTCTAATCTTAAAAAACTGGTTGCCATCGAAGTCGATTCCGACTCATAGCGACCCTAAAGGACAGAGTAGAACTGCCCCATACGGTTTCCAAGGAGCACCTGGTGGATTCAAACTGCCGACCTTTTGGTTAGCAGCCATAGCTCTTAACCACTACACCACATGACATTTAATCTCTCTGAGCCTTAGTTTCCTCACTTGTTAAAATAAGGGTCTCAATAGTACCTACCTCATAAGGGTTTTCGTAAGGTTAAAAAAAATTATATACAAAAACCTAAGCACAATACCTGGAACAGAGTGGATACTCAGTAACAGTTAGCTATTGTAATGCTAATATGCAAAGAATAGAGGAAAGGTTTGATTCAGTTTAGTTTGTTTCATTAAATAAAACACAGTTAACTTAGAAAACCAGGAATTCAGTTATGTTTTAAATCCATACTGATAGGAAAGAACAATCTGATGATCAGAAATTTATACTTCAAAAAAATTTTTTTCATCATTTTGCAAACAGCTTTATAGTATCTGCAAACATGAGCGATATTTTATTAATGAGTTAATTTGTTTTATGTCATTCAGTATACTAGCAGAAAATATTTAAAAGAATATTTGAGCTAATCTACTTGAGTCCTTATTTGTCACCTTAAGATAGAATTAAAACATAAAATTACATTTCCAGAGTAACTGTTGCAAATGTAATTGGAAAATTACATTTTCCCAAGCTTCCTGTTTCCTGAAAGATTCTACTTAAACAATTTAGTCTCTATGCAGAAACTGTTCATCTCTACATTGATACATTTTATAGCGCTGTATCCCAACTTGTACCGATGCTCTTAAAGATGTCTTATTAACTGTTGCTCAGACAACCCTACAGTTTTCTACCTTATTTGTGACATTCCCTCTGCCTGGAATTTCTCCCCTCATATGGTCCCATCTAAATCTTATTCATCCTTCAAGATCAAGCCCAAATGAAGCCATCTGACCACCCACAATCAAATGAAAACCTCTTCCTCTTCACAGCACCCTAGAATCACCTTTACTACATGCTGCCTTGCATTGTAATTATTTTCTTAGTTCTTTCTGAGAAAATTGTAAGTTCCTTAAAGGTAGAGGCAATGTATATAGAAGTCTCGTAGGAATTAGGAGACCTAAGCCCTAGACTCTAGCCACTAATTAATAGTTTACCTTAATCCATATGGGCAACATCTCCTTCAGCTGTAAAATGAGGCGGTAGAACTCAAGATCAAATAGATTCTGATTCACCTTTATATTCTTTGTAGTACCTTCCAGTGGTATACAAAAGTATTTGTTGAATTGATACAACATTCTAGACTGATACTAATTTAAATGCAAACACTTCTCTTTTCATTAATCTTGTTTATCTAATAATGAATAGGGGCACAGTATAAATAAAAGTCACTGGGTAATATTTTATAGTTATTTTATATAGATAAATGTATGTATCTCATGAAAATTACTAGGCATTTTCAAATGATTATGTAGTGCTAATCTGCAGATACATAAATGGGCCTACTAATTTACCAAATCAGTAAGAGATAGTATTTTTAAGAAGGACTTATGAAGAATGTAAATATGAACTATGACAAGCTCAGCAGATTAAAGAAAATGAATAATTAGGAGGTATTTGTGAGTCACTTCAATTCTGAGAACTTTGCTTTCATGACTGTAAAAAATAAACAACTATTTTCTACTTGGTAAGAGTTTTTTTTTTTCAAGCCATAATTAACAGATTAGATTAGAATTGCCATAAACAGTACTTTACACTAGGTAGGGTCTACTAAGTACTTTTATATGTACACCTTTTCCTACCAATTTGGAAATTTCTAACTATACCTTTAAACATTTTTTATAGGGCCTGGATTCCTTCCGAAAACATACAAGATATCACAGTCAACATTCATCGGTTGCATGTTAAGCGTAGTATGGGCTGGAAAAAGGCATGTGATGAACTGGAATTGCATCAGCGTTTCCTTCGTGAAGGAAGATTCTGGAAGTCTAAGAATGAGGACCGAGGTGAGGAAGAGGCAGAATCCAGTATCTCCTCTACCAGTAATGAGCAGGTGAGTTGTGTCTCAATAGAAACTATTTATTGTTTTTAAATGTGAAAATTGTTAGTGTACACTCCTCACTGTAATGAACAGATTCTGACATTTTTCCTTCTCTTTCATATAAACATTTGTAAAGTGCTCTGCTAAATCAAACCCAATTCAAATACATAAATATAAAACCATCAACAGCCTTGAGCCTGACCCCACCAGTGAGAAGAGCCTAAGTACACTGCTCATTTCATAAAGCCATCAGTTACCAGGATAGGTAATTAAGTAAGTGGTAAACTAAGTGGTTTGAAAGAGCTAGTGGAAAAAGTGAGCAAATTTATTTACTTCTCACCTGTGGGTCCATTACTAGTCTTTTCAGCAGGGAAGTATTTCTTAATATCTGGAATAATATGCTATTACTTTTATAATGCCCACAGCTGAAGGTCACTCAGGAACCAAGAGCAAAGAAAGGACGACGTAATCAAAGTGTGGAACCCAAAAAAGAAGTAAGTTGCCCTGACCTTGAGTGTCCAAATGGCAGTTGAAACAGGAAATATTTTTAAAGTCACGGACAGTCGCTCCTGGTGGATACTTGTGAAATGCAACTGCCATCTTTCAAATATTATCAATCAAGTTTGAACCTAGTTTCCTGAGCTTTCCTGTCATTATCTACTATCACTAGAATAACAAACACATGCTGAAAGTCTCCATCTTAATTAAACATCTTAATTAAAATTTGGCTAAGTGGGATGGGCACTTTGCTTTACAGTGCTACATTTCTCGGAAACCCTGCTATTTTTTTCATAGCATTATTAAAAATAAAGCACCAAACAACTAAATAAGTCAGGCCAACATTTAAAAACTGGCAGAAACTATGGCCATATTTAATGATATGATTCATGCAGGTTTTAAAACCACATATAAATCTGGGCATAGTCCAAACACATATTCAGTGAGAAGTGGTTTAGGATCTTAAGAGATGTGTTAATGAATCTAGTCCACAGCAGTGATTATAAGTTGTTTATAATGATTTTCTGTATGATAAACTTTTTTGGTGTATTTTAAAAGGAAAAAAAAAAGTATTACTATGTAATGAAATTGTAAATTCCTGTTTGGAATTATTATAGCTGTTAATTAACGTGTTTTTAACAGCAGTTTATTACATGGCTGTGTATGTATATCACTGCATTTTCATCCTAATGGAGCTTGTCCTTGTACTGGTAAATTATATTGCTTTGTTTTAGGTCTAAGCACTTTTCTTACTCTGTAGGAACCAGAGCCTGAAACTGAAGCAGTAAGTTCTAGCCAGGAAATTCCCACAATGCCTCAGCCAATCGAAAAAGTTTCAGTTTCAACTCAGACCAAGAAGTTAAGTGCCTCTTCCCCAAGAATGCTGCATCGGAGCACTCAGACCACTAATGATGGAGTGTGTCAAAGCATGTGCCATGACAAATACACCAAAATTTTCAATGACTTTAAAGACCGAATGAAATCTGATCACAAGCGAGAAACTGAAAGAGTTGTACGAGAAGCTCTAGAAAAGGTAAAGCATCACACCTGGTATATATAACATGTTGTTTTCTGAAATCTGGGCAAAATGAATGAACAGCATTTCCTGTAGTGGTTTATTAGCACCTTTTATTTATGCATTAACCAGGTAGCAGCTTTTTACAACTAGGAATATAATTAAACCTGTATCTTTTATACTATTTCAATTAATAAGGATACTTTTTCTCATCTAAATTTTCTACACATCTTACTGAAATAAAAGGAGTTACATCATTTGAGAAGAAAATATGTATTAAAGTGGTTTTTATTTAAGTGATTGAGCTGACATATTATTTAACTTTTAATTTCAGCTGCGTTCTGAAATGGAAGAAGAAAAAAGACAAGCTGTAAATAAAGCTGTAGCCAATATGCAGGGTGAGATGGACAGAAAATGTAAGCAAGTAAAGGAAAAGTGTAAAGAAGAATTTGTAGAAGAAATTAAGAAGCTAGCAACACAGCACAAACAACTAATTTCTCAGACCAAGAAAAAACAGTGGGTAAATATCAGTATTTTTTTATCAAATGATTTCTGCAAATGTAGCAAGGGTATGATTAAAATAAACTCAGAAGGGTATATGTAGCATATACATAAATTCTTCCTGAAATAAGACAGAATGTGAAATTTACAACTTTGATTTAAAAATTTTTATTAGAAGTCCTGTAATCTCTGACCCCAGATCCCACATTACTGAGTGTTTTAGGCTGGGTTCTCTAGAGGATTAAAACCAGTAAAACACATACATGTAAATATATATGGAGATTTATTTCAAGGAAATGGCTCACGTAGTTGTGAAGGCTGACAAGTCCCAAATTCGTGAGTCGGGCATCAGGCTGGAGGCTTTTCCTGCCTCATGTGGTTGCAGGAGTTGATGAACCCAAAATCAGCAGGTCAGGCAGAAGGCTCACATCCCAGGAACCGGAGGTCAGAGGATGACAAGTCAGATGCAGGATCCAGAGCGATTGAGCTCAATATATACTGGGTGCAGGCCACACCCCCAAGGAAACTCCTTTTAGATCAGATCACATAATGGAGGATAATTACATAATACTAAAAATCATGGCCCAGCTATGACACATAACATTAACCATCACCATCCACCCCCCGTCAACTTGGCACCTGTACACATCACCTTAAACCATATATAATCTCTGAATGAAGACAATGAATTCATACTTGCACCTAATGTGAAACAACATGCGTACAACCGAAAACGCACTAGCCCTTTTTACATCTTATATTTATAATAAGTAATGGGATAAGGGAGGGAAGAAAATAAAAATAATTGCCATATATACATACATATATATGTACATATATGCACACATACATGTAGTATAACAAAACAAGAAAGAAATACTCATAACAATTACAGTCCTTGTTTCTACAACTGGTCACATGGTTGTAACTGGTATTTAGAACTACCTTCTTCTACCACCCATTCCGTATTCCCTTGGCCCTCAGCAAACACCTCAGTTGGTCATAGTACTTTGCCCTGTGGGGTGACCCAAACCTTCATTCCTGAAGGGTCTGGGCCATTAGTAGTTATGTTGGAATTGGGTTGCACAGTTTTCCCTTGACTTTAATCACAGAGCATGGTAGTACTAAGAGTTGCCCTAAGGGATCTCCTGCATTTCAGACATACTCTTCTTTACCTCCATTATGTAATATCAAATCTGATTTCCCCTTGGTAATCAGGATCAATCACACCAACCAATATAGTAACTCCCTTCTTTGCCTGTTGATCCAGAGGGAGGAGCAGCCCAAAGTGGCCAGGTGGCATTCTTAACTTCCGGTTAAACACAATCAGTGTTGTATCTCCAGGTGGGAGCTTTGCTTATTTGGAAGTAAGACCTCTGGACCTGCAGAGCATAGAGTCTCAGGAACAGGAAGCAAAAATTTTGCGAGTAAGTCACTAGGAATAATAGTGGGTGGTGCCAATTCCATATCCACCCCTTGATTCCTGAACCCATGAATCCTGGCTATGGAAGAAACAGCACCCTACATTAGGTGCTGTTTTAGAGCATACACAGCCTTGTGCAGAACACTGACCCCCCCCAAACCTGCAAAGTATGGCCACCTAGCTGGTGTCATTAATGTGTTTATAGAAGGCCATTCCATTGTTCTATCAAGCCAGCTGCTTCAGGATGATGGGGAACATAGTGTGAGCAGAGAGTTCCTTGATCTGAGGCAATGCTGTGTAGGCTATCATGACAGTGCATAAGGAATTCTGTAAATTAATGGATAGTAGTCTCGGCAGAAGCATTGCATGCAGGGAAGGCAAATCCATATCCAGAATAAGTGTCTATCCCAGTAAGAACAAAACACTGCCCTGTCCATGATGGAAGCGGTCCAATGTAATCAACCTGCCACCAGGTTACTGGCTGATGGCCCTGAGGGATGGTGCCATATCAGAAGTCTGTTGGTCTCTGCTGCTGGCAGATTGGGCACTCAGCAGCAGCTGTAGCCAAGTTGGCCCTGGTGAGTGGAAGTCCATGTTGCTGAGCCCATGCATAACCTCCACCCCTGCCACCATGGCCACTTTGTTCATGAGCCATTGGGCAATGACAGGAGCACCTAGGGAAACAGGCTAACTGGTATCCACAGAACACATCGTCCTATCCACTTGATTGTTAAAACCTTCCTCTGCCAAAGTCACTGTTTGGTGAGCGTTCACATGAGACGCAGATATCTTCACTTCTTTGGCCCGTTCATAGAGGTCTATCCACATACCTCTTCCCCATAAATCCTTGTCTCCAATTTTCCAATCATGTTCCTTCAAAGTCCCTGACCATCCAGCCAAAGCATTGGCCACACTCCATGAATAAGTATATAGTTGCACACCTGTCCATTTCTCCTTCTAAGAGAAGTGAACAACAAGGTGCACTGCTCAAAGTTCTGCCCTTTGGGAGGATTTCCCTTTACTGCTGTCCTTCAGGGAGGTCCCAGAAAGGGCTGCAGTGCTGCCACTGTTCACTTCTGAGTAGTGCCTGCATATTGCGCAGAACCATCTGTAAACAAGGCACGAGTTTTCTCTTCCTCAGTGAATTGATCATAAGGAACTCCTCATGAGGCCATAGGTGCAGACTGAGAGAGGGAAAGTAATGTGACAGAAGTGGAGACCCTAGGCATTTGGGCCACTTACTCATGTAACTTACTTGTGCCTTCACGTACTGCTTGAGCCCAATCTCATATATACCACTTACATTTAATGATGAAGTGCTGCAGTGCAAGTCCGACTTTACGACCCTGTGACTCAGACAATACCCAGTTCATAATGGGCAGCTCAGACCGCATGATGACTTGGTGGCCCATGATTAAGCATTCAGTCTCTTCTAAGGCCCAGTAACTAGCCAAAAGCTGTTTCTCAAAAGAGAGCAGTTATTTGCAGAGGATAGCAGGGCTTTGCTCCAAAATCCTAAGGGTCTGCACTGTGATTCACCAACAGGGGCCTCCCAAAGACTCCAAACAGCATCTCTATCTGCCACTGACACTTCAGGCACCATTGGATCAGCTAGATCATATGGCCTAAGTGGCAGAGCCACTTGCATGGCACACAGCCTGTTGCAGAGCCTTCTCTTGTTCTGGGCCCCACTCAAATCTAGCTGCTTTTTGAGTCACTTGACAAATAGGCCAGAGTGTCACAGCCAAATGAGGGATATGTTGCCTCCAAAATCCAAAGAGGCCCACTAGGCATGGTGCCTCCTTTTAGTGTAGGAGAGACCAGATGCTACAATTTATCATTCACTTTAGAAGAAATATCTTGACATGCCCCACACCACTAGACCCCTAGAAATTTCACTGAGGTGGAAGGCACCTGAATTTTTCTCAGGTTAATTTCCCATCCTCTAACATGCAAATGTCTTACCAATAAGTCTAGAGTCATTGATACTTCTTCCTTACTAGGTCCGGTCAGCATATCATCAACATAATGGACCCGTGTGACGTCTTGTGGAAGGGAAAGGCGATCAAGGTCCCTGCGGACTAAATTATGACATAGGGTTAGAGTATTGATATACCCCTGAGCTAGGATAGTGAAGCTGTATTGTTGGCCTTGCCAGCTGAAGGCAAACTGCTTCCAGTGGTCCTTTAAAACAGGTATGAAGAAAAAGGCATTAGCCAGATCAACAGCTGTATACCAGGTACCAGAAGATGTTATTAATTTGCTCAAGCAATGAAGCTACATGTGGAACAGAAGCTGCAGTTAGAGTCACCACCTGGTTAAGTTCATGATAATCCACTGTCATTCTCCAAGATCCATCTGTTTTTCATACAGGCCAAATAGGCGAGTTGAATGGGGATGTGGTGGGACTCACCACCCCTGCATCCTCAAGTTCTTGATGGTGGCAGTAATCTCTGCGATCCTTCCAGGAACATGGTATTGCTTTTGTTTTACTATTTTCCTAGGTATAGGCAGCTCTAATGGCTTCCACTTGGCTTTTCCTACCATAATAGCCTTTACTCTATTTGTCAAGGATCCAACGTGGGGCTTCTGCCAGTTGCTGAGTATATTCCAGTTATGCATTCTGGAACTGGGGAAATCACTACAGGATGGGTTCAGGGACCCACTGGACCCACTGTGAGGCAGACATCAGCTAAGACTCCATTAATAACCTGATCTCCATATGCCCCGACTCTGACTGCTGGGCCACAGTGACATTTTGGGTCTCCTGGAATTAGTATCAGTTCAGAGCCAGTGTCCAGTAATGCCAGAAATGTCTGGTTATTTCCTTTTCCCCAGTGAACTATCACTCTTGTAAAAAACTGCAGATCTCTTTGGGGAAGGCTGTGAGAAAGATTAACAGTATAAATTTCTGACAGCGTAGTGAGATCCTTCCTCACAGGACCTGGCCTCTCCTCCATTCAAGGACTGTAGCTTTGTAACCTGGCTCAATTCAGGAATGATTGAGGGGCCGTGACTCTGTTCTGGCGATTCAAGTAAGACTGTGATTCACTTGACCTAGAATTCTTCTGCTTGAACAGATCAAGTAAATATTTAGTAGATTTCCCATCTGTTTCACTCCTAGGGACACCATGACTAAGTAGCCAATGCCATAAGTCCTTACGAGTCAGACTATTATGATTACTGTTTTGACTCTGCAGTAACCATGCCCACCTTGTCTTTGTCAATTAGGTGCTGCCACTTGGCCCCTACCACCTGGGGTCCAATCAGCCCCACTGAAATTAGGTATCTTCATTCAGTTAGGGCAGTTCCCACTGTCAAATCTGACTTATATAAAATAGCAATCACAGCAGTCTTCGAGGATGCTGGGACTCCCTTCACAAATTTATTCCTCATCGTTGTGATGAAAGTTGTGTCTTCTGGGTTCTCCATGGGTGGGTTTGGGGTCCAATCTGACAGATCCATTCTAATATGCCAGTTTCCCTAAGCCTTTGGTAAACTTCTTCTACAGTATACCAAGGCAGGTCTGGCATTTAAACTTGATTTAGTATAGGCCTCCACTTAATCCATGCTTCAGTGAACCAACCAAATAAAAC